TGTGTGTGTGTGCGAGCGTGTGCGTGTGCGTGTGCGTGTGCGTGTGCGTGTGCGTGTGCGTGTGCGTGTGCGTGTGCGTGTGCGTGTGTGAGTGTGTGTGTGTGTGCGTGTGTATGCGTGTGCGCGTACGTGCGTGCGTGCGTTCGTGCGTGTGTTCGGGAGTGTCTGTGTGTGCGAGCGGCAGCGCGTCGTAAATGTTTAATGTCCAACCGGCGTGCTCACTGCGATCGTCATCTCACCGAGTGGCCGAGCATCTCCTGTCTTAGCGTAAATTGGCCCTATATATGTTGCGAGCGAGATGGTAAGCGTAGTGCACCCTGCGCGCGCCAGGTGGTGTCGCTGCGGGCGGCAGTGCGGGAGTGAGTCACCGCGGCGTGATTCTGCTGGCTACAGGGAGCCACGCTCGCTCTACCGCGCTGGTGATGAGCATGCTCATTACGGCTTGTCATACCTAATCAGCTGGGCTTTCATCGGATGCGAGCGGATAGGGAAAAAGGAAGGCATTTTTTCCCGCGATGAAATTTCTGTCAATAAGAAGGACGATAATGGAAGCTAACGAAGCAAACATGATAGGCATATCCTACAGTGTCCGTGTTGCCGTGGAGAATTTTTTTTAAGAAGGGGTGCAAATGCATTTTTCGCCGAAATGCGACGCACACGCATAACGAGGGGGCGGGTATGTCTGCTTGAAGAAACGGTACACTGCTACGCCGATGCATTCCTACCGATGTTAAAGGCATTTGAATAACCCGACAATATCTCGTTTGCCATGCGACCACGATTGGAATTCGAGCTTTTTCGGGAAAGTTTACTAGATTTTGCGTCGATTACGCGCTAGACTTGACTCACTGCAGTAGCACTTGCGCTGCTAACAAGCGCCGTACTATTAACCCGTTCCGCGGATTTTTACGAAAACATTTTAGCCGCACAATAGCGCCCGTGGTGAGAACGCAGTAAATCGCCAGCCTAACGACTCCTCGGGGAAGATGATTCTCTCTCGCGCGCTCATGTTTTACTTGGCGTTCGCCTTCGCAATCATCTTAATGCCGCGTATTAATCTTTCGTCTCTGTCTCCGTGCCGAATACCAGCACAAAGGGTCGCATTCTACGCTGTCCCCGAATTTCAAATGTCAGTTCGCTCGAAGCCCTGTGGTTGCTGTTTCGTCGACGTCCTATTATACTCGATAGTGGCACCGCATCGAACGTTCTATTATATTTGATAGGAGGCAGAGACGTATGACAGCACCACGTGGCGGCCGCGGACACGAATGATGTTCACTCAGATTAGATCGGACGTGTGGCTAAAACGTCGGCCATGGCCCGCGGTGATCCCGCCCTGAGCACGGCAATCTTAATCATCTCCGCCGCTTTGTAATCGTGACTCGGGCAAAGGAGGCAGGTGTGGACAGCGCGCGGCCTCTTATTACACGAGCGTATTACCGCAAGCTCGGCTAAATCCAGCCGCGCCCGGCAACCGGCGCGTGCCGGGTGACCGGCTTACCGGCGGCCGCCCGCCGCGAGAGCCTCCGTGCGAGTGATGGGCCGGTCTTCCCGCACTGCTCCGATTTACCTGTGCCGGTACGATCAAAGACTAGCGACGCAGCACTAGTTACCACCCGGGTGCGCACACGTGCCTAGACAACATGTACATATATAGGCTCTCTCTCCCTCTCTCACGCCTCCGCCCTTTCTCTCTCTCTCTCTCTCTCTCTCTCTGTCTCTTTTTCCCCCCACACACTTACGCACGCACGCCGCGCGCAGCACCACCACACACACACACACACACACATACACACACACACACACACACACACACACACACACACTACCACGCCACAAACAAACACAGCACAGCCGCACACCGCTACACGCACGAACGGCACCACACACGCACACACACACACATGTGCGTATATATATATATATATTATATATATTTATATATTATTTATACTGCGTGCGTTGTGTGTGCGGAGAAGTAATACGATGTCATAGATAGATTTATAAGATAGAAGAAAGCAGCTGGATCGAAGGACCGAGTATTTAGGCAATTAGCCTATATTACAGCGGCCCGGTGCTAAATTTCATCTTCCAAAACAATAGAAAACCTAAAGTTTAATAAACGATTTGGCAGTCGGTCCTTAAGGATTTCTTTTGAGTGTACATTGACATTTCCTACGATGGCGCAGGCAGACTTGTCGCACTCTAATATAATATTATATATATTATAATATAATGGATATATGTATACAGGCCCGTTTAGCCACTTGTCTATTGGGCGCTGGGTATCGTTTTTGCAATTGTTGGCAATTTGCTGCTGCCATGCGGCTGTACAGGATTGTACCTGGGAGGGGTGGTCAACGTAACCAAAGTTAGCGAGCACGCAGGGGTGGGTCTTGCGGGGCCCTCCCCAGAAAATTTTAAATTATGACCCCCTCAGTATGCGTTTTCGGCGGCGGAGCAAGGTGGGCGGTCCGGACTTCCCTGACGACCCCCCAAACACGCCCCTACGCTCTGGGCCGCGAAGCGACAGGCGAGGCGGGCCAAGCGACGAGCGGGAGTGGGGCTCAGGAAGGTGTGGAAGGGGCGGGTGTTAACACTGCCTTCACCCTCCCCGCTCGACGATGGAGATTTTCAATTACTTTACACTAAAATGGAGCGACCTGTAGCCTTGACAATTCTTGCCCAAATTTTGCAAATTTTTTTTTTTTTTGCTTGGTGGGGTGGGGGGTGCTCCGAGTCCGGGGGGGCGGGGTGTTCTTTCGACCCCTCGAACCCCCCTGGCGTACGCGCCTTGTGTATTATTATATATAGTATTATATTAGTATTATATATATATATATGGGGGCTGAAGGTCAGTTCTACATGCGGAAGTGAGTCAACAAGGGGGATAATTAGGAAGGAGAACCGAACAATAGCGCCTCCTGTTTTAATTGCTGCTCGATGTGTTGTGTGAATTATTGCGAAGCGCGCTCTAATTGTCGCCCCATATAATCACCATCAATGGTTTTTGTTGACTCTAACGTCTCGGCCCGAAATGAACTTGCAACCCGACTGTTTAGTTGAAAATCAAATGTAAACAATACGCTGAATTGATTGCATGGTGATAGGTTGACCAACACGTGACCGATTCAGGTTCTAAAATGCTCTCTGTGGCTCTCGCGAACCACGAGAAACCACGAGATCGTGCCCCGGTTCCAGTAATAGTGATAGAACTGTCAGACAGTTTGCTTGAAATTGTTTCAGCTTCGTTTCACCGTGGAGGTGTGCAGAGCAATGAACAGGGTTTTACCTACGTTTTGCCCATGCGTGTTTAACCCCAAGGATACCTTCACTACAAATGTGAAACTAAAGTATAAAAATATTCACGAATTAGCCATTGACTGTTCTATTTGTCCTTTCTTTTCTCTTGTCCTTATTTAGGCCTGCGTGTAGTTGCATTATGGTCTAAACATTCAGCGTCGTTAGTAGAGCAACATCGGAGCAGATATCCTCCCTGTGCACTATTATCAGTCGATTTATCTACATTATTCTAAGTACTGTTGACATACTATCTTACGGGATGCGACAGCATCTCGGTCTAGTTTTCACACACGCATTGGGCGGGCTATTTTCGATGGCAATCGTGTCTTGATAAGCCGCCAGTAATAGAACGCGACACGTCTATGTAATGGACCCAAATAAAGCGATGTGATAGAAGCCAATGTGGCGTTGCTTCCTTCACTATTGCTAGTCAGCCTACAAAGCTTTCAATCTCTGTGCGCATGCGCGCGATTAATGTGATAATCCCAGTAATGCTTCCTTGCTAGCCCACGCTATCGTATTCTGCTGCATGTCTATCTATCTATCTATCTATCTATCTATCTATCTATCTATCTATCTATCTATCTATCTATATATTTATTTATTTGTTTATTTATCTATCCATATAATATGTGTATATATATTATCAGGAGTGTATAATATCGAGATTATATTATACACTCCAGATATTATTTAATTATTTATTTATTCATGAACGAAGTATTTGAG